TTTGAAATCTTTCCAAGATCTCCAACTAGCCCCTGGACAAACTGTTAATTCCTAGAAAATCACACCTGCCAACTAATCTCACGAGGTTTGCACGGGGAGGGGGGGGAAAAAAAAAGCAAGTTCTTTGTTATAATTGCCTGGGAAACAAACCAGACTTTAATTATTATGTTCAGTCTGAGCTGCAATAATTAGCTAGTACCACATAACGATGCAGATCACTGGGGCACAAGCAGAACAACAAAACCATCACAATTGTCCTATTAGCCTGCATGCTTCATTCTGCCTATCACAGTACATTTTGTTTTCAACCCCTTTCCAGCTACTGAAAGGAAATTCACAGGGAAGACAGCTGCTCTTAAATGCAGCAGTTAAACATAGCTTTTCACAAAATGCCTCTGGATTACTTGGAAGTATGCTTTATGCTTCATTTTCCTGCCCTGGGCTCATCTTGTTAGGCAGGAAAATAACGTCATAAACATTAAATTATTTAACTAAAGTGCAAATTAAAGCATCCAGAAAAGAGTGTGAAGAACCTCTGCCATTACATTTACATAACCGTTGATCTGTTGGAAAATAGGCTAATGGCTTAGAATGCATTTCCCAAGTTTATTAAGACAATGGAATTCTGCTTCCTTGAAGGCTGGGTACACGGCAGGATTTTAATAACACCATCATTCTGCTTAATGCATTAAACTTTACTTCGTATATACTTAAAGCCAAAACATTTTTTTTCACATTGGATAAACTAGGAAGTGGTTCAAACTCATGTCAGGTATTTTGCCATTCGTGTCCCATTGGAGAGATTTTCCTTAACTTGCTGTCCCTAAGACACAACAGTACGTCAGAGGAAATCTCTCCAATGTAAGTGAAATCCCTTCTTAAACAGTTGGCACCTGAACACATTGGAAGATTTCACCTCTACCGCTGTGCTAGCGACAACTAAAAATTTTGGATTTTCCCTCATTTTCTATCTTAGTGACAGTGGTTACCAGGCAAATCTCACTAGCAGGGAAAGCTATGACAATAAAAAGAGTTCCAATTCTGCCCCATTGTATATTAAAAAAAATGTTTTAATTTTACATGAAACTGTGTGACCCTGCTTCAAAGTACCAACATACATCAAATTGTCAATGACTTGTGGTAATGTCAGCAGGATTTATTAGTGATCCTTCTAGACCTTGTTAGATATCCTTGGGTGAAGGATACCAGGAGAAAAGACTTTCAACCAGGCTGCTATTCAGCTGTCTGCAGCGCACACAGGCATGCATACTCAAAATCAACAGGCAACCTTTTATGAATTTCGCTAGTGAAACATTTTTTTAACCAGTAGGATTGTGTATGGATGCCCAACCACAAGTCATTGCCCACATTTACAAGGTATTGCAGCTGTAGTTTGTGGTCTGCTTAACTACAACTCAGGGACATGCGGTCAGGGGAGGCAGGTTAGGCAGAGCCTCATCTAGAATTATGGAGGAAAAAGCTGTCAGCTTCAGGTCTGAAGCTGACACCTTTTTCTCCATTCAGATCGGCATCTAACATGTTACAGAGCAGGGAAATCCTCCCCGCTGTGTAACCTGTCACGGAGCTTCAGCGGTGAGGAGCAAGTGAGGGACATGGAGGCTCCTCCCTGTCTCCTCCTTTACACTTGCTTGGGGACGGGGCTTCGGCCGGCGGGGGCAGAGCTTCGGCCGACAGGAGGTGGGGCTTTGGGCGGCGGGGCTGGGGAATGCCTCACCCCGAGCAAGAGGTACCGCACGTCACTGCTACAACTCCCAAAGTGCACAAGGTAGTGACAGCATACTAGGAATAGCGGTGCACAACAGCGCAATTGAAGAAAAGCTGCAGCCTTATCATGTTTAACACAAGCTACAAGATTGTTCAACATGACCTTTCTGGTAATTATTGACAGATTACCCAAATGGAGACCTTTCACTGCATTGATAGGCATTTATGTTAAATAATGCTAGTCTCTCGTCTTTTATCCAAGTGTAACAAACAAACCTTGATAACCTGGAAACTGTGCAGGCACCATAACAAAGTCGTCTGTGTCACAAGAGGAGTTTTTGCTGCTGCTTCCACCAGATTCCTTTGAGCCTTGAAGAAAGCCTGGAGAGTCAGGTATGGGGGAAACTAGGGTTTTCTCTTGTAGCTGCTGCATTTCTCCAAGAGACTGCTAGAGACAGAGGAAAACCAACCTTGATTAAAGAAAGCTACAACTCAATAATGTGAATATCATCCTGATGGCATATAACCGCATAAAAACAGGTATCCCACTCTAACTTTATTCTACAGGCATGTACCATTGCTCTAACATGATTTATATGCATTCTATAAAAATCTTTGCATACCAGTTTTACTGAATAATAAAAATATGTTTTGAATATACTTTCGCCCTTTCACTGTCAGACCAATTTTTCCAATTTCTTTTTAGCCAAAGAGCATGCTAAAATGCACATTGTTGACTAGAGACCTCCAAACTATATATTTTCTGAAAGCAGAGCTTGTAAAAAATAAAAAGATGGTAGGGTTTATGAATTTTATTTAAAACTTTATGATGTTGCGCAATATTTAAAAACATGTTTTAAGAAATTTGTATTAAAAAAAATGAACGGAATATATTTCCACATTATTCAATGGAAAATATAAGACTGTGTCCAGTTAATAATCAATTAATTTATTGAATCTAAAAATCATATGTGCTCCCCAAACAGCAAAAAACTACAATACCCAAATCGTAAGCAGGCATTGCATTCAAAATCTTTAAAAGTAGAATTAAATTGGAGAGTCGTCCTGGCTGCAGCGCGGCTCTGGGCTGTCAGCATATAGCGGGCAGTAGCCTGCTATATGATGAGTTTTGGGTCACAGGAAGACATTACTATATGTCCTCCAGTGACCCTGAGGAGAACTATGGCAAAATAAAGGTTAGGTCATAGTTCTCTTTTAAGGCTCATCACTTTAAAAGGTAAATATTGCCCTAAAATTAGTTTTCAATTACACTTGACTTTTTTTAAATCTATCCTGGTAACTATCACAAGGGACCAACAAGCTGCCGCAGGATTGCGGAAGAGCCAGATGACTGCCAGGGCTTGCAAAGGTTACAAATGTTAAAACACAATACTACTATAGTTTTTTTGGTCCTAGAAAGTTTAAATAGTTTCTTCCCTGTACTCGTTACCAAACAGAGACAAGTAGTGGTTTTGTTAACTGTCCATTATGTCCCTGTTTTGGCTGGACAGTCCTAAAATGTATAGTACAATGAAAGAAGGCTTAGATAGAGTGTAATATCCTAAGTAAGATCCTAGGAAGAATTTTGTTTAAGCCCCTTCACAACTTACTTCCACCCAAAACAGTAATAGGTAGAGTCTGGAGAGGCATCTACGGGCTCATACATCTTGAGGAATCCATATCAGTGAGATCTCCCCACCAAAATTCCTGGCTTCTTTCCAGCCCATTTTAGAGTTTTGGGTCTTCCTAACCACCTTAGTGTTTTCCCACTCCTCCTGTTTTTTCCACAACATACATTAAAAATCCAACAGGTAGAATATAAACTCCTTATAATGGCTACTGTGGGGTTGAAGACCAGTAATCTCCAGGACAAACATCTCACCACTGTAATTTATTTTCGGTGGAATTACCTAATTTTGGGTAGCATTTCACCAATTAAACTACAACCAAGTATAATAAATAACAATAAAACAGAATAGAAAAGTAGTAGCCCAATATCTGCCATCCTCTTTATTAAGCAAAACTATTAAAGCAGCCCTTAGAACAGTGGTTCTCAACCTTTCTAGGGCCAGGACCCCTTGGTAACATTTGCCAAGTTGTGGTGAACCCCAACGGTAAAATTTAGGGATGACGGGGCTGCTGCAGTGACATCTGGTGGCGTGGCAGTAGAACTGACACTGCTGCGCTAGGAGAGGGCTGAGGAGGACTCTCACCTAGCACAGCAGAAATCACACAGCGACCCACAGGTTGAGAACCCCTGCTTAAAAGGAGACAACAAATCCCAGAGGAATACAACAAATCGCAGCAATAGTCCATTATACTATAATGTTCTTTTGCTGGGATTTGTAGTCCTCTGTAGCTGGTGTTATTCTGCGTTGCGCTGTAGAATTTATTATTGCTGGGATTTGTAGTCCTCTGTAGCTGCTGGTATTCTGCAGTGTGCTGTATAATGAATATACTGCGCAGCGCAGAATAACACCAGCTATAGAGGAATACAGCAAATCGCAGCAATAGTACATTATACCATAATTTACTATTGCTGGGATTTGTAGTTCTCTGTAGCTGGTGTTATTCTGCGTTGCGCTGTAGAATTTATTATTGCTGGGATTTGTAGTCCTCTGTAGCTGCTGGTATTCTGTATTGCGCTGTATATAATGTATTATTGCTGTAATCTGATGTATTCCTCTATAGATGGTGTTAGTCTCCATTGCGCCGTATAATTCATTATTGCTGGGATTTGTAGTCCTCTAAAGCAGATGGTACATATACAGCACAATGTACCATCAGCTATAGAGGTCTACAAATCCCACTACCCCAGCAATACATTAATGCAGGGGAGGGGTGCAGGCTTACCTGAGAAGATTGTGAGACTGTGGATATAACAGTGTTATGTACGCCGTCAGAATTAAAAAACAAAACAAAAAACACCATAGGAATGCATAGCTAGATTCCTATTGGCTATTTCACTTTGCAATAGCAAACTAGCTAGAAAGGGACCTGATGGAGAACTTCAGGTCCCCCTCTGCTGATTGGCAGCAGCAGGGGGCGGGTGCAATAGCTAGTTTGCTATTGTCTATTGCAAAGTGAAATAGCCAATAGGAATCTAGCTATCCATTCCTATGGTGGTGTTTTTTTTTCTGACTTACAGCGGTCCGCGGCCCAGATGTCAGAAAAAAACAAAAACGGAGCAGAGAAAGGTTTACTCTGCTCGATCGAGCAGAGTAAACCTTTCCGGGAGAAAGTGTTTCTCTCCCGGGGGGGCTGGGAGCCGCTGGGTGACCCCTGGCAAATCGTCATTCGACCCCCGACGGGGTCGTGACCCACAGGTTGAGAACCGCTGCCTTAGAACAATGTTCTCCATGAGAATGCAGCTATTTTCATAGCGGATATCTGGTTTCAATTAAACTTCTTGTCAATGAATATGACAGATGAAGGAACACCTTCACCTGATTTATTAAAATGATAGAAATCAGCCATTTTAAACCTTATACTATTAAGCCTTATAAACTAATTAAAGTAACAGTATAGTACACAGTACATTAAGTTACATACTGATGTGTGTTTCAATGTTATGACACGGCTACAGAAATATTGGTGTTTTTAACTGCAAATATTTCACACTATGGTCAAATGGTGTACTTACTGGGGGAGATGCCAAGTGTGATGTGGAAGAACTGCTGCAGGAGCTTCCAGACCCTGAACTGGGATAAGAGGGCATTGGCACAGGTGCAGCTGGGCAGAGAGAGAGAGAGAGAGAGACATGTCAATACACACAATGATTAGACTCAAGCACACTCTTTCAATAACCCCACTGCCAAAATAAAATCTGATGCTGCCACAGATTTCTAGGAATATTATTGACTCAATAAATCATTTACAGACTTCTGTAGCCCTGCAGTAATGGGTTTGGTGACCGGTCTGTGTTTTTGTCAAATGTAACTTTCTCTTTTTTTGTGACATGATTACTGTATTGTTTCCCTTTATATTTTTGAGTAATATTATTGTACTTCTTTTCTGAAAACATAAAAATACATTTACCCAAATCATCTACAGTCTATGAAAACAGGCTGGAGATAATGTGGTGCTCAATTAATTGTGCATGCATCATAAATATTTATGGAAATGTTAAAGTAAACTATAGATGTTATCATATAACCATCTTCATGTATTTTCTGCATGGCCATGGAAAGCATAAATGTAAAAAAATGTATACAAAACAATAAAACAAGCCTGTGGTTTGTCCACATGGGAACAAAAATCAACAGGTTTTCCTTCATTTCCCTGGCATTTTATTTAACTTCCAGAAGTGAAGAAAATACCCGCTAATACAGGGAATGGAGGAGCATGTAACTCACTCCATGTGAAAGCCCTGGACCAATCACCAAACACTAGAGCTGTTACTACAATCCATAATCGTGTGTAAGCTCTGACTTGGGCAATTTATAGCTTATACATGGCACTTCTACTCTCAGCAGTCGAAGGAAGTGGCAAGGTGTGAATGTGCTGCTGGGGCTTGGGGTACAAGTGTATCTGTAGCTTTTTCCTTAAAGGCAAAGAACCTTTAAAATGGGTAGCAAGGTGGATGGGTGTGTGGTTTGCAATTTAGCCTTACAGAGCTGGGTCTTTACTTTCCACGAAGATGATTCGCTTAAAATCTATATATTCCGCTTTTCTTATTGTCTACAAACTGTGCTCCATGAAACCGATACTGTATCCAAGCTGGTTGTTCTTTTATTAAAATGTCAATGAAAATATTGAAACAGAAAATCTATATATTCTTCATTATGGGTTTCTATATTGTGCTCCAGTACGCCACACCACCTAAGAATATATTGGCAAGTTAAATGACATCTGACTACACTGACCAAGTTTGAACTTCTGGTGTGAAACAAAAGCTTGGCCAACTACCTTCTTATCTCAAACTAAAGTTGGGTATACACGCTTCTATTTTCTTCATTCAACCTGCCGACTGAACCGAAGAAAATAGAACAGATATCAACACTTATGAGTGTTGATTGCGGAATCTCCTGCCGTTTCCTTTGCAGCTTGTTGGCTGCTAGCTGACAGTTTTCCAACATGCTCCTTCGACCAGCTGATCAATGGCTGCTGGTCCGAAAGATGCTGATAATGGCACGGACACATCGAATTTCGGCCAGTTAATCAAGAACCGCCTGAAATGTAAAGCATGTATACGTGGCTTAATACTTTAATTTTGGCTTGATGCTAGCAGTTTGAATAACCCATTAGCTTCTTATATGTAGATATCGGCAATCTCTTTTCAGACCCACCCACCTGTATTGAACAAGTCACCATCAAACCTTGGATCCAGTTCAACAATCTTTATTAGCTTCCACCACAGTCACAAAGACTGAATGGCCCTGTGTGGTCCTGAAACATTGAATGCTTCTTTGGAAGTGTAATGCATGCCAATAACGACCGTTAAATATTACATGCTGGAAATTGTGACCATGCGACCTCTCGGTTACATCAGTACCCTACTGATCAGTGCTCATGTGTTGAATGGAGTATGACTGTGACATGTAAGATCCAGCCAAATGCCATGGCTATTTTGTTGGGGGATTTATAGTGCCTGTGGGAATATGCATGTATTTGTCATAATGGAGAATGCAGTAGTGTAATGGGCAGATAATTCTGGGAAGAAGCCTGGGAAGATCATTCCCTTAGTGGCAGATGAAGCCAATGGTTAATACAAATCAACAAAACATACAAAGTACATACATTTGGCAATATATATGACATAGTTACGTCTGACATATTTTAAGTTTATCCTTAAGTGGTTAAATATTAGCACTGTAAATATCACCTACATTTCTTCATGGAGGAGCCTGCATCCAAAAACGAATGATGGAAGAATTCATCTGTGAAGAAGAAAGGATGAGAGTTCAGAGATGTTTGACAAATAACAGTTTATATTGTGTGCTATCACCTCTCTCCTGCTACTGTGTGTGAGAGCTGGAATTCCAGCTTACCACTGCATAAACAAGCTATTTTACATTTTGCTAGAAGCACTGTATAGCTAAATCTGCTTAAAGTAAACCTGTCATGAGAGCAATACAAGGCTGTTCTTGCTGACCCTCTAGCTGTACTTTCTGAGTCACTAACTTGGGAAAAGACAGGGCTACTTTATACCTGTACATTACATCTGCATAGTTGTTCTGGGTCAGTGACCCAAATACTGCTAGGCAACTAGCATTTTTAGAAGGGGGGTCAGAAATGATAACTTGCAGGTCCCTCTCATGGCAGGCTTCCTTTATTATGTCTATCTTGTGCTCAAATTAAATAGGCTTTATGAAAACTTTGTTTACAAATTGTAGAAGTACAATATCTTCTTCTTAAAAACACATTTGAATCACAGCACGCATGTGTATACTCCACACTGTCAATTACAAGCCAGAATAATACTCATATCAGATCTAATTATCTCTTAATTAAAAGATTGTGTCACTGATAATACATGAACTAGTAATTCCCACAAGGAGGAATGTTACTTTATGGATTTAGTTACACATTACATATCACAAGACATTCTGAAGCCATGTGAAATCAAGCAAGTGATTGCAGCCTATTTATACAAAGCTCAGTAGATGGCCGATAATTACTGAGTGAAGCATTTTTTCTGATGAAAAATCCTGTTAGCATTAACCCTTCAGGTTCAGGGCCACCATTTCTTACCTACTGACCATGTACAGATTTGCCCTCTCATAAAATATAAAGTAAAAAAACAGTAAGCAAATGAAGCAAAAAAGTAAGTTACAGAAAAATGGAGAGTAACGTATGGGAGACCACCTTTGTCTTTTCTGAAGACAGGGGAATCTCCAAAATGTTCCTCTCTCTGTATTTCTGTGACTGTAGTTTTTTATGAGGCTGTATTCAAATAATTGAGGCCTAGTCTTCTTTCATAGTAAGAATGTTTGTTGGCCGTTTTCCTACTCCAATTCATGTGTGCTATGGGAAATGGTTCAAGCACTCAGCACTTGATAATAGCAAGTTAGTAATTATTACTAAAGCAAAGTGCCTTCTTGTTACTCTACTTACATAAAATATGACTGCTATCAAAAAATACAAGTGAAAAAGAACTGAACAAAGAAGGCAATCTGCCCAGGGTGACCAACCAGATTTCATTTAATTGGATGACGACTGCTCAACTTCTCACTTTTTCACAATTGCTTTTCTCACGTTTTCTTCAGTGATCACCATCTATCTATGGTCTACACAGTGCCAAGTAACCTGCTCATACACAAATGGATGATGTTATGAATATGTGCAATGATTTTGGAGAGTTGTATCGTCACTCTCTTTCAATGATGTTGTTATTGCACCAGGTCTCCAGCAGAGGTTCTCTGCACAATTTGCTATTACAGGCTGGTGCCTGAATGAACGGACTCAAAAAAAATATATAAATCCTTGCAGTATTAACTGCCTGGAGTTAACAAAAGGTTAATAAAGTCAACGAGTCTGTGCCATGAGCTGACAAGAGTCATGCAATACAATGGGATCACATCCTCTACCAAATCTAGCTATAGGTGGCCATGTTGATTTAAAACTATGTTTGAAGGGAAAAATGTATTAATTGTTTCAAACAGACAATTGATTTCCAGATGTAATATTGACAGACCCCATTTCAGAGGTTGCCGTAGGCAACAAAGACACTTCTCTATTACAATAAGTTTTGTATTCTTCCTGTTCATTGTCAATTATCATTTAAGTGACATAATTTCCTTTTTCAGGATGTTCACCACCTGCAGAGAATATTTATTTTAATACAGATTCTAAAAGACAAATTAGATCAGATCTTTGATGATGGCAAGCACCCAAATACTGCATATATTTATGAATTCTACTCTTTTTCCCCAAATGTAAACAATGCCTTTAAATGGGCAGATGTTCGTTGACTTCTTAAAATCTACATAACATTCACAAGCATAATATAATTTTTACCAAAGTCCATTCGGTTCTTCTGGCTCCTCTGCAGAAGTCCCAAAAGCAGCTGCTTTAAATTACATGACGTTTCTCGCGGGATGCTGAAACATCAACACAAACATATATGCCAGTTAAACAGCATGTACAGGCAAAGGAACACAAGGGCAGAGCAGTCCAGACGAGCAGTCAGAGAGACAGAGATCACAGTATAGGAAAAATGCGGAGCAGAAAGTTCGAGCAGTTTGTGCGAACGAGAGGGGGAGTATGTTTGCCAGGTTTAAATGTAACACTTGCAGGCAGCCTGGGTATTATTCTTCATCACTCCTAAACTAGCATGGGTGTAGTAGTTGTATTTTTAGGGGATACAAGTTGTGAGGTGGGCATTTAGATATAATGCCCTGTGAGATACGTAACACTGACTGACGACTAAAAAAAGATTCAGTGTTGGCACAGGGTTATATTAGAATTCCAAATGAGGATATGATCCACTGCACTCTGGGGACTCAGCAGTACCTAATCATGGTAAACAGGTATAGCAAGTTCACCACTCCTATAAAATAACACAGCACTAACACAACTGACAGATTCCCTGATACAAGCACAGCAGAGGCAATTTAAATAAACGTACAGAGGGAAGTGGAGGTGTGACCCATAGGAACCAAGTGTGGGCTTTATTTATTAAAGTGCCTGGGGGAAGAAATGTCTGTTTGTATTTCTTCACACAATCAGATTCAAGCGTTCAATCTCCAGATGTCATTTCCCAGTGCCAGTTTTAATCAGATTGGTTGCTATAGGGCTACATGGATGGACTGAGAAAGTAATTCCTGACTTGTAAATTAGGATGTGAGAGTTTGATTTCACTTCATTTTTGTTATTATTCACATAATGAAGATTTTTTCATGAACAGTAAGGGATTATGCTGTTGTTGCCTAAATGCAAACAAATCAGATAACCACCTTTCATTTCAGAAATGTCAATGGTCATTAAAATGTATGTCTGTGTAAAAAAAAAAAAAAATTCCCCATGTTTTGCTCTGTAAAAACTCTGTGAACACGGAAAAATACCTGTTCCTGCCAAAAATCCAATGAACTCCTAATTTCCTATAGTGAGCTGACAACACTACCTCTACTGCACAGAGATCCCAGTCCTGCCAGAGCTCTCCTATGCTGGACTGAAGCTGGCCATATACTGTATGAATTTTTTATGGTTTTTGATGAATCAGCTGAAATTCATTCAGTGGGTGGCTCCGTCACCACACTTCCATCAGGCATCGGCCAAACAGAAAATCAAAGCAGCTGATTGGAAAATTTTCAGGTGAACAGCCACAACAGCCTGTTCCACTGTTTCAGTATTCTGACAGCGGCACATCCGCTGCAGTCAGAATACAACAGCCCAGCTGGAGATGCATCGTGGATGGAGAATCTGTTATATTTTTTCATTAAACCTGCAAAAATTTTTTTTACAGTATATGGCCAGCTCAAGCAACGCCTCTTATGTTACATAGAAGAGGAAAGGGGGAGGTGTTTTGTAGTCCAACAGGGCTGATAACACAGCCTGGGATCTCCGCACAGTAGAGGCAGCATTGTCAGGTCACTACAAGAAGTTAGGAGAGCACTAGATTTTTTGGCAGGGTCAACAGGTATTTTTCTGTGCTCACAGTACTTAAACTTAGGGAAATGTAGATATAATGCAGAGGCATATTCATTTTTTTCAGTTTTGCCCAGACATGCACTTTAATGGAACAAACCTCTATTTTCACTTTATTTTCATAAAGGCACTCTGGAAGACTAGTCATATATTTTGGCCAAGCTAGTCTTACCTTTTAGCAGGAGGAGAAGACATAATTTATGCCTATATACTGCTTGCTTACTCAGAATCCTCTCATTTGAGATATTTAAAAAAAAGCCAGCCAGTGAAATGTTATTTGTGTGCACCATAAACCTTTCCAGCATTAAACTGGTTTCCTCAAATAACCTATCCCATTTGCTAAAAGGATTAAAAGACCTTTCTGTCTGAGCCTGGCACTACCAGTTATGCAGTGATAATTAAGGAATGCTAAGCGGAGTGCCAAGTGTCTAGTGCCCATCTTGCTGGCAGCCTGGAGGTTTAGCACAGAATCAACAGGTGTAAACAGAGAGCAAGTCAACGGAAAAAAGGCAGCAATGTTGAATGATTACTTGGGCGTGAGGGTCTTGTTTTTCTCATAGAAGAGACGAAGGTCTTGAGGGCTGCTGGCCTGAAACGAGAAGGAAGCTGTAACCAGAAGAGAACTGCACATCTGATAAACTCTGGACTCAAGATTCTTATTTTTATCAGTCACATCCTAACCGAACACCACCTTAACCACACAAGTTCTGATTTAGAATCTGCACAAAATGAGCTAGTCTTTCCTACTAAAAGAAAACGTGTGTAACCACCCCGAGCAGAGCAGAATATAGAATGTGCCATTTCTTATTTTCTGAGTCAGAAATGCCTTCACAGCTTTCTCCGTTTCTTCCATGGCAGTAACAGATTTAATAAACACACATTTAAAGTAGACTTCCACCCAACATTAGCTGCAGGGTAAAATATACCAGTGTGAAGTAAGTCTGCTCTGCTGATCTCCTCCATTCACTGATTCCACTGTTCCAACATGTCAGATTACATATCAGAATATTCGATCTTGCCTAGCACATGCACATAACATTATGTACGATTTTTCCCAAACGAAAATCACGTTCAAGGTTAGAATCTTAGTTCAGGTAAGAAACAAGAACATTTTTCCATCCTGTTCCTTTGATTTTCCTCATCGGCATTGTCAAAACCAAAGTGTACTAACCATTAGAAAATCAGACAAATGCTTTGAAACTTTTCTAACAAACTTCTACTGGTGTGTGGTCACCTTTAGCGGAAGCAACCATAAGGCCTCATTCACATTAGAAACGGCCGGCATGTACAGCTCCGTGCACAGCCGTATCGGGCAGCTCCCGGGAAGGACAGGTGCTGCGTGTGATTAGAACGCAGCCCCTGTCCGTCTCTATGGGACTACACGGCCATACGCCCCCTGCGCTCACCTCAAGTGCAGTTCCGTACGGGTCCCGGGTCGGACGCAGACAGGATCCGTCCTGTCAGCGTACGAGTACGCTCACCCACATGGATGTGCAGGGTGGGTGAGCGTAGGGCAGCGTACGGCCGAGTAGTCCCATAGAGAAGGACAGGGGCTGCGTACTTAATCACACGCAGCACCTGTCCTTCCCGGGAGCTGCCCCACACGGGCAAGCACAGAGCTGTACGCTGCGGCTGATTCCCATGTGAATGAGCCCCAAGAGTCCCCTGGTCACCAAAAGAAAAGAAGTGTTTTGGATGTAGGTCTTCTTTAATAATGGTTAACAGTTGGCAACGTATTTGTAGACCAACAGATGACTTCTATTTTGGATACAAGGGTAGAGACATTTTCTCTGAGCTGGCCTTACATGTGTACTGAATTTAATATTTATTAAACCACTGCAGGCTGCAGAGGGATATTTCCTATCTTACAATCAAAGAAAAAAAAATAATTGGGTAGTTATCTCATGCAATGGTAAAATGTGTATGCTACATATATCATGCATAATCCCCAGTAAGAACTTCCATTGTTCAGTGGTAACTGTGAACAGGGAAATGACACAATGATAGCTGAACACACATTGTACCATTCCAAGTGGATGATCCCTTTGTCAATAGGACCTCCTGATAGGAGCTCAATAACATTTGACGCTTATCAGACATGCTGCAGCTTACATCCTTTTATGTATATATAGAGGCTGTGTGCCCCCTTTACTGAGCTCTTATGATTGAGCTGTTGCATTACTGATCTTATACACTGTGTTCATGGTTGCACTTTATAATATGTGGTGGTACAAACAAGTAAACTCAACAAAACAAAAAAAATGAGTGAAAAAAATATACGATATGGAGCATTGAAATTCCCTTTAACATGCTCATATGTAGTACAAAGAGTTAATTGAAACACTTTTCACAGTACCAACCCCAAGCTCAATTCCTAGAAAGCTGTGCAGACCGAGTGCACATTCATCACCCAAGGGGGCCTAGACTAAGGGAGGTAACATTCCGATTCTAGCCTTTCTTTCTTTCTTTCCTGACCCCGGCCATGTTGCAAATACTGTTTTGCTGGCCCTTTTTTTAAATCAAAGTCCTAATGTTAAATGAGAATGCAATATCAATAAAACAAATGTAGCACTGCAAAACCAAATATTCCATCAAAAGCAGCAAAAAGCTCATGTAAATATGTGTACGTGAACATGACCTCCTACAAGTGCTGAACCTGCAAAAGCGGGGTGTCAAATGTTCTCCATGTAGCAGAAGCAGAGCCGGGCTGGAATGCAGTGAACTCAGTGCCCTGTGTTTTATGACACTGTATACCATTCCACAGAGTTTCAACTCCAGTTATCACACTCAGCAAGTAAAATAAAAGGCAAATACTTTTATTGAAACTTTCAATTGGAGCGGAATGCTAATCTTAGATTTTGCTAAAGGTCTCAAGAGATGCCACAATAAAAAAAATAAATGGGTAATTATCTTTCTCCCGAAAAGAGTTATTTCAATTGTACACATTTGCCATCAACTCAACAGAAGTGGTGGGCAAATTTGTGTCGGGGAAGCAGCAAAAGTACAACATTGTCTCACAGCCCAGACCTTTTTCATCTTCCTTAGCTGTAATTCCATGCAGGCATATAAAATACATGCAACAAGAAGGCTCCCACAACTGGGATGGACTGTCAAGAGCTTGTTGTAAACATTATAGGTTTAAAAAGGTCTAGGAGTGTTTTAATTTAACTTGTCAGGAAAATAAATCACTGCATGTCTATCTCTTCTAAGTGTTTACTGCCTGGTCTAAAGAGACTGGTGGTTAATAATACCTGTCACTTTCTACCTACATTGCAATTTGCTTATAGAGTTCAAATTGAACTCTAGACGTCCCTTCAGTTTTGCATAGTTGTATGGGCTCATCAGGACTAAAAGAGGTCTTGAGAGGAGTACAGGGGCAGAGTGTTGAGTTGTTTTCAGGAAGCTATGTACAGCTCCCTACTGGCCCCTTCTGCCATCAATGATCTGCCTGATTTGAGTAGAGAAGCATAAAAACCCAGTGATTACACTACTGGGTCTAAAATAAGTATGTAAACAGAAAGGTTTTTGCATATGTAGCGCTCCCCCTTCCTGGTCAGAGCTATACCAATATAGGATATAGAGAAACCTCTATTATGGACCCACAGCATACAAGCACACCTTGAGTACTAGGGTCGGTTGCTATGGGTGGCGACAGCTCCGATTCTTCTTGTCTAGGGATACATTTACTCGCTTCGGCCCAACAACACTTAAAGTGACATTAAACCCTCAGATTTTTTAATATAAAACAATACTGTAATGTGTGCCTTACTGTAATCCATGGTTGTTTCCCTTCTCTTTGCTGCTCTTCCCTTTAAATCCGTATCTCTTCTCATGCTGGGCAGAACTTCTGTTTTGCAGCAGACTGCCTTGTCTCTGAAATGGATACATGGTGTCTGTGTGTAGGTTTGCAACCTGAGCCAGCACTACAGGAAGAGGCACTCAGCTGCAAAGGGAAGTTCTCCCCCAGCATGAGAAGACATGAGGATTTAAAAGGAAGAGCAGCAAAGAGAAAGGAAACTACCATGGATTACAGTAAGGCACACATTACAGTATTGGTTTATGTTAAAAAATCTGAGGATTTAATGTCACTTTAAGGCTCCTTCGGTAGAACGATTGAAGCGAGGTCCAGACTGTAGTTATGATGCTTGAAACTTTTTATTTGCAGAACTTCAGGGAGAGAGGTAGAGGAGACTAAGGATCATCCAGGCAGATGTAGACTCCATGGCTTTTCAGAGAGAGTGTGGTTACAGCTTCCATGCAGAGCAGGTCGAACACCTGTCACAGCATATTTAAAGTAGAAGTTACTGATCCTTGTCTTTAGCAGCAGCCCCCACTGGACCTACTGCCACCAGGCTACAGGGTGATTCCACAGCTAGTCCCCAGGCTTTGAGGCCTGGTCTGCTTAGGCAGTCCAGCGCAGCCCCCCAGCAGGTAGGGCCTCGGACATGAAGAGACAAGCTCACATGGCCCACCCCGAGTATTTATCTCCTCCCACCACTGACTATCGTTACTGATTTAATAGCACCCTTTTCACTAGGGCACTACACATAAAAAGATTCATTAGTATGTTGATGAGGGGGAAAGGGGGAGGACTAGGGAAGACAAAATAGAAGTAGATTTAACTTCAGTTTTATATGGAGGTCAATAGAAGGCCTTTTTACATCAGCCAAATGGAGCCCCTAAAGTCATATTTTATCTATTCTACCTAGCAAAACTATAAAGCACAACATTCTAATGTTTTAATGGATCTGTCTCCTGAATTTTTCCATAAAACCCAAACTTAATCTTGCGCGTGACACATATATTTTTTGGAGAAGTAGACACTGTGGAAGGGAAACTGTAAATATAAAGCCTAAAAGGTGCCCATACACCTGCCGATTATCGTACGATAATCGCGGGTGTATGGAAGGCGTGCGGGCATTTCTACTGTACGGTTGCAGGTCTTTGTCTTCCGAGCACTCTTGAAAACCTGCCGTAAATCGTAAGATTTCCAGTGGGTTAGTGGCGTGCTCGGAAGACAAATGCCACAAGCGCACACTGCCTGCTCAGCATTGGAATCATCGGAAGCCCTCCCCTCGGCGGGGAGGGCTTGCAATGATCGCAAGTACGATTTGCCTGTTCAAGATGGGCAGATCGTACGAGATTTTAATTACCTTACAACCATTGCACAACAAAAGTCGTGCGATGGTTGTAAGGTGTATGCCCAGCTTTAGGATTCCAACTGGTTGGGAAAGAGTTAAGCAAGAAACGAGCCTTCAGAGTGATGCTTGTGAGCTGCATTTCAGGAAACATGGGAGGCCCTGTATAAGGTTTCAGATTCCTGCTTCTATAGTAGCTTACTGTATAGGAAAATATTTGGTCACTCCATGAAGGTAAAATTCAGACTTATATTAAATATATTAGTTGATCTTTTACAGGCAAGTGGTTAGACCAATATCCAAGCCATTTATATTTTACAAGCATTCCCACTATTATTTTAGTGTTCCGCAATAAGTCACTTTATACATCAATCCATATTTATAGGTTCTTATCGGAGAGAAGAAGGAAAGAAAGCTAAATTGAGAATCCATTTTCAACTGAACTATTTGC